GCCGCCTCCGAGATAACGGGGCCGTGCTCTTTAGAACGTTTCCGCTGGCAAGGAGAAGGCATTCCTGCGAGTGCGTCTACCTGTATCTATTCATTATCCGGGGAAGCACGCACTAATGATCAAATCCCAGAGACTCCATCAAATGCAGGCGCCTCAGCTTCTTGCCAGCCCTTCCCCTCCCCCCCAGCTGCTCCTCCCGTTCCCTGTAAAGAGGGCCCAAGGGGTGCGGCCCCTCGGCGCGGGACGCCACAGCCAGGGGGCAGTGTGGCCAAGGCTGAAGAGCTCTGAGGCTCATTCGCCCCAGTGGCTCACTTAGTCATTCAACAAACTCCTGTCAAGCGCGCAGAGGCCCCTGCCTGCCAGCGCACCATTCCATACCCTTCCTTGCTGCGTTCAGGGGTAGCAGGCGTTCTGGTACTGACAGAGCATTCTGTTACTATCCCGCAGGGACTGGCTTTCTTAGGCTGGTGTACTCAGCAGCTGGCTGGCTTAGCTTCCATTTTTCACCAGGTGGTAGAAGTGCTCAGGGATTATGAACAACCAGTTAACACACATTCTCAGCCCAAATCCAAAGCCCCTTGGATACACAACAGATATTCCCTGAACGTGGCAGATGCTTGGAACATGGGTACCACTCAGTAAACAGCAGCAAGGTGGATGGGTCCTACTGACCTGTCGATGGAAACTTTCATGTTGTTGTCTCAGTGGAGCTTCCAGACTAAGACAGACTAGGGAGAAACACCTGGTAACCTACTTCCAAACACTGGCCCATGAAAGCCCTCCATCTGCTCGTGGGTGTGTGGGGCCAGGCAGCATTGCATTCCATTGTGCATGGGGCTGACCTGAGTTGGGGCCAATTAGACCACAGCTGAAAACCAGCACCTGACCCAGCCCTCTAGGCACACCTTGCACCGAAACACTAGTTATAAATATTTTAGTAGCTGGGTGCAAGGAAACTTTGTGATCTCATTTCAAAATATTTGTGGATCCAACACCTTAGCAAACAAAAAGACACATAACCAATCATAATATGGGGAAAGGACCTGAACAGACATTTCACCAAAGAAAACATTCAATCGGCACCAACACTTGAAAAGATACTCGGCATCATTAGCCATCAGAGAGATGCAAAGAAAACCACGTGAGATACCAGTTGAGTCCCGCTAGGATGACTAAGATACATAATAACAATAATAAATGTTGGTGAGAATGTGGGGCAAGTGGAACCCTTATCCATTGCTAGTGAGAATAGCCATCGTGGAAAACAGTGTGGTGGCTTCTCAAAAAGAAACTAAATAGAATTAGTTTTATTTCCATTGGAATGATCCAGCAATTCCATGCCTCTGTACACACACCAAAGACTCAAAAGCATAGTTAAAAAGAGACTTATACACCAATGCTCATTGCAGCACTATTCACAATAACTGAAAGGTGGAGACCACCTACATGCTCATCAACAGACAAATGGATAACCAAAATGTGGTCCATACATACAATGAAATACTCCTCAGCCAGTAGGAGAAATGAAGTCTTCATACGTGCTGTAATATGGATGGAGGTGAAAGACATTGTGCAATACGTCACTCACAAAAGGATAAATACTATATAACTTTACTTATAGAAAAAGACCCAAAAGGCAAATGTTAGAGAACAAAGTTTATTAGTGGTTACCAGGGGCAGGAAGGAGGAGGGGGAGAGGGAGAGTTAATGGAGATATAAATACCACATTGATTAAGGGTAGAATTGCACAGCTGATTATCTTAATGGCTGCCAATAAGTTGCACATCCATAAAAATCTTCAGCAAAAGTTGTGGGATGGCTGTATTTACAGCAACAAGAAAGTAGCTGCTGAGACTGCTTATGTACAACTGAAAACCTCGTGGGATTTGGTTTCTTGGTTTGGAGGTTTAGGGTCATGGTTTCATGGGACACCCCAGTTAAGTGTCCTAATAATGTGTTTAGGTCTCCAGTTCTACCTTCTAGTTGGTTACTGTAGGGCCTGGGGTCTTAAAAGCTTGAAAACAGCCATCTGAGGCTCGACAGTTGGTCTCTATTCACCTGCAGCAACAGAAGAAGAGTTAGGAATAAGAGGAGGACATGGAATGTGTCGTTAATTGCCCCCATGAATAACTGCCTCCCTTACCATGAGACCAAAAGAACTGGATGGTGCCCCCTACCATTATTGAACATTTTGATCGGACTCTAGAAGACTTCTGATCAAAAGGGGGAAATGCAGAACAGAACATCACATTCTCATGGAATCCAGACTTTCTGGAGCCATGGGGGCTGTATGAACCCCTGAAACTATTGCCCTGAGGTAATCTTAAAACCTTAAATGAGAAACATCCCCTGCAGGCTTCTCAACCATAGAATAGTTTAGCATAACTGCCTGGAGCATTGAGCTCCTCTAAGATCTGTCTCTATGGGATCAAATGGATAACAGCAGCTTGACAGGTTAGACAGCAGCCTGAGGGGCCAGTGAGTTTATGTTCATGGGGGAGGGACAGCTCAGAAAAGGAGGGGAGAATGACTGCACCACCCAAGGAATGGCG